TGAATGAAAATATAGTGATAAAGAAATCTACAACATTTAATATGAGCCGTAAAATCCTGATTTTTGTAGATAAGAATCATACGGTTGATATTGTAGATAAGGAAATCTACAACTTTTAATCTGAGCCGTAAAATCTTAATTTTTTATCGTACGGTTGATATTGTCAGAAATTCTATGGCGCCCATATGGGTACCATATGGTACCTTAATCTTCACGATCTAACGCCTAATATTCATTGTGAAAAATTGATAGAATAGATATTAGGCGTTGGATCGTGAGATTATGGCACCATATGGTGCCCATATGGGCGCCATAGAATTTCTGTGATATTGTAGATAAGAAAATTTATAAATTTTAATCTGAGCCGTAGAATCTTGATATTTGATCGTATGTTTGATATTGTAGATAAAGAAATCCACAACTTTCAATATGAGCCATAAAATCTTAATTTTTTATTGTACGGTATTGTAGAAGGAAATCCACAACTTTCAGTCTGAGCCGTAGAATCTTGATTTTTGATCGTACGGTTGATATTGTAGATAAGAAAATCCACAACTTTAAATCTCAGCCGTAGAATTTTGATTTTTGATAGTACGGTTGATATTTATATAAGGAAATCCACAACTTTCAATCTGAGCCGTAAAATCAGATTTCCTATCACGAATATCAACCGTATGATTCTTATCAATGAAAATAATATATAGTATAAATAAGCTACATGGTTGATAGGTCGAAAAATGTGCACGTTTTATATATTTAGTGATGTATTTTTATACATTTAATTTATTCGCACATTTATATTTTTCAACTTATTTATTTATTAGATGGATTTATTTGCTTTGATATTTTTATGCATTATATATTTTCAGAATATTGGAGTAATTTATGAACGTGGAGCAATGGAAGGAAGTTGATGCGATAAGATTACAAGGGAGCCAAATTCCAAACCAATTAAGGCCATGATTATAATTTGTAGAAAGCTTAATTTGGGCTAAGTATTATATAGTTTACGGGCCCAACATTTTAAGCTAGGTTGATGGACCAATATTTGGGCAATGAAGATTTAATTTGCTGGAGGAACTTGATTTTTGGGCTGGACATCAAAACAAAGCCGTGAGGTGGCGGAAATTGGGTTTAATGCACCAAACCCCCCTGTATTATACGAAATCTGCACGTTTCCCTCCTGTATTTTAAAAATTGCGTCAGACCCCCTTCTATTAAAGTTTTGTATGCGCGAAACACCCAAAATTTAGACGATTTTGGGTGTTTCGCGCATACAAAACCTTAATAGGAGGGGGTCTGACGCAATTTTTAAAATACAAAGGAGAAACGGGCAGATTTCGTATAATACAAGGGGGTCTTGTATATTTTACCCGGCGGAAATTA